CCCCCCAGTTTAAAATGAAAACTCCTCAATACAAACTTTTGTGTCGTGTATCTTAAAGTATCCAACAGAGATGCATAGTCAAAAATGCGGCCAATTGGGATAAAGCAAAGAAAACTTGTTTTCATATTTTACACACCCGTTCCCCCTCCCAGTTGCATGCTTCTTTACAAAACGCCAACACCGCTTTTTTACCCATGCTTGCGAAAATCACCACTGGGTTCTCCGTTAAAATTTACAACTTCAACAATTATGGCAGCAATATTTGATGCAGGTAATGACATTTAATCTATTATGAGGGCCTCAATGCGTTATGCAGCACACCCTTTTGTTTGACGGATTCTCCGAATGGCATGTTGCTGAATGAAACGAGATAAATCAAACCAACTATCTACACTTATTTACATCAAAGTCATATTTCTGTCGGCGGTACTTGAGGCTTCTCTATCAGCAACACGCATGCAAGCAACTTGGAGTGAAAGTATTTAGGTAGCCAGTGACTTAGCACGCTTGATCAATTTCTATCTCCATCCAAATAAATATTAAATGAGCTAAACAATGCAAAAGCTAACACCTAGAATTGGGAAAGCATTTTGACAATGCCGATTTCCGTGAATACACATCTCCTGCTCGCCTCTGCCTATTTGATTGGACAAATTTCATGATACTCTGGGTAATACGTCACCGAGATGAACCAACTTATGGGATTTACGATAAGTTTTGATATTGGAAATACATTTTATTAAGGCCTTTTCCTCCATATAGGTGTTTTCTATTCCAGGACTTATGCGTAAAAGCATGTTTATTTCACGTTGTTTTTCTTTATTACGTTCTACCACGTCAATATTGTGAATATTCTTGCGCGTCCACTTTCAGATATTAAGACACGCTACGTCCGCAAAAATACTCAAACGAAGGACCAATCAAAACGTCAATTAGCTCCAATTCAGCTTAATGTTCTCGCCCTCTCTGATGCCTCATTAACCAATCGGTTACCTCGTGTCTACATGGACGAACCGACTTTAAATGACGAGTTAGTTTAATACTAAATCAGACCAAAAATTGGTTTCAAATCATTTTAGCCATGGCTAGGCAAAAAATTGCGCTACCTTTAATCACCAGCAGTGCCTTACCAAAAGGGGGGGGGACAGAAATGTTGGAGCAACGCCAAAAAGCTTTGGGAAAATTTAGATTCAAAGTTTCGCTTCATCTTAACTCTGAATCCACCAGAAACTGTCTACTTTTACATTCCATTCATATTAATTTCTATCATTTATTATCGTCGTCCACAGGAATTCGTAGTAGCATATTTTCATCAAATGATTTCGAAATTATCCTATTTCCACCTAGCGGGCATTCACTGTTCAAAAAGTCTAACTCTTTGTGAAATTTCTACGTTTTAGTAGTGGACTATTCATCGGTGTCTTTCCATCTCACGCGCATTTGAAAGAGTCGATGATAATAAGTGCTCATGCCGATTATTTACATATTTTATTTTTCTAATAAGCGTGCGGTATGCTGGGCAGAACAGAGCACTTAAAGCAGCTTTCCGCTCAATTAGCTTTTAAGAAAAATGGACGTAGGTGGTCAAACGGTGGTTCAAAAAGTTAATTTCAAATTAACTGATTCATTTTCCCTAAGGTTTTATACTCGATTAATAGTCTAAAATCTACACAGTTCCACCTATAAGGCAACCAACGAAGGTGTTCAAAAAATTGCAAGAATTGTAATTTCAACAAGATTCCTTGTTTCTTTTTTATAGGCAAGTGAAATTTATGGGAAAGAAAATGTACAGACTGCCATTTCTTTTCAAGAAAGGTAAGGGTTGTTTTGTCACCAATGCATGCTTAGAGATATATCTATTTTACCTTTATTTGTGCTCTTTTTTAGATAAGGATTAGACTGTGAGCATAATTTACTCAGCATTTTATTCTGGACAAATATCACATTTAATGCGTTTTTTGTTTCTGTTAAAATTGAATAGAACGATTCATCAAATATACACTGACCCACTTACCGAACTGTTAAGTCTATTTAACCCTAATACGTCTAGTTGGTCTTCAAAGCTAAAAACATAGCTCGTTTGTATGTTTCATTAATTCACTTGTTCGGTCGACTTTGGAACCCTTTACAAGGTTGCATAGAGTTTAATACCAACAGATAAAATGAGAAATCGTTAAACCGCAAGTGAGAATGGAATTCTGTGGCTGAATAGATTCTCTTGCATACTTCACACAGCTATTCCAACAAATAATTATAAATCATTAGGTTAACCAATGATTGAGTTGGGAGAATATCCATGTAAATAAACAAATAAGAATATAAACCACTGCTTAATTGGCATAAAATTCCCAAACTAAAGCACGTTTAAATAGGTTATTTTATCAGATCCGACGGAGTCTTGACTAAACCTCAGCTATCTCAATGGTAAGAACCCTTAGTATGAAATTCCTCCTGAAGTTAGCTAAGATGCCTAAAAATATCGACGAAGCAGAGCTCATGATGTGAATTGTGTGTCGTTGTCGCCACCACAAGGGTTAGCCATTAAAATACCGCTAGGTATTTGTTAGGTACTACGGTGATTATTGATTGGATGTTTCGCACTCACGAGGCACTTACTACCTGAGCATGAAATTTCTTTGTTCAGCCTCAGTAGTAGTGTGCGCTCTTCCCAGCGATCAAATTAATGGCATTAAGGAACCAGAATAAATTGAAGAAGCTAAGAATAAAGCTAGATGCTGATAGTAGTGAGACCAGTTGTGGAGGCCAATGAATGTTCAATAATCCATAAAGATGAATCGAGCGAGTAGAAGAAAGAGAGGGAAGAGCGATAGCAGTTAATGGACGAACTTATGTGTGTACGGAAATACATAGACAGTTTATGCACCAATTGGACAAGGTTCCGTTGAAGGCAATGAATGAAGACTAAATTTAAAATTGAACCTGACGGTTATAGAAAAACGAGAAACTATAAATTTGATTTGACGTAGCAGATGTGGGTTTGAGTTGGATGGAAGGTTAAGGAATAATTCCAGAAACGACGTTTTCATCTTTCACAATGAACGATATGAGATGACGAAGAGATGGCTTTAAAGATGTAGATAAACTGAAAGTGGTTTTCGTTTA